CTCGCGTAGCAGCAGCAACAGTGGTGTTCGTCATTCTCCGAAACTCCCTCGTATGTCTTCACGTCCTCCTTTTGCCGAATCTGTTTCTTAATAAAAATGATCAGTGTGTGTGTGTATTCAGCAGCTGCTATGTTTGGTCCATATGGCGCATTCATTCCGGAAAATTTCGCTGCCTTCGCTGCTGGCCTCAATCCAGCATCTGTTCTCAATGCAGCATTCGGTGGTTCACCTACAGGCAACAGTTCAACGAATCTAAATGCGGCGAACAACTTCGCAGCACGACCATTACTTCCGTCAGCCAGTCTCAATGATCTTTATTCAGCTATGCGTATTCCTCAGCAGCAGCAGCAACAACAACTGCAACTGTCGAATCCATTGCTAGCCATCACATCGGCAAGTGCTGTAACAAGCGGAAATATAACTGAACGCAACGGAACTAAAATACATTATTCATTTCATTGTGATTCATTTGATCCATCACCATCATCGTTACAACCGTATACATTTCCACCCGATGCATTTGATAGTTTAGGTTGTCCACGTCGTACACGAATATTGAGCACATTGATACATGGTGATGTAGTTTGCGCAGTAACAATAGCAGATCAAAATAAACATATTTATACAGGTGGCAAAGGTTGTGTAAAAGTATGGGATTTAAAAGAAAGTAGCTACAGTAATACGAACGCCAATGGTAGAAGTTCACCATTGACTATTAGTAAACCGATTGGTCAATTCGAATGTTTGGTAAGATCGAAAAGTGAATTCATAGCAAATATTTTATTTACTGTCATGTTTTTCTAGAGTCGAGATGCTTATATACGTTCAGTAAAACTTTTACCAGATGGTCGAACATTAATTGTTGGTGGTGAAGCATCGAATATTTCTATTTGGGATTTAAATTTAACTCCATCAACACCAAATGGTTCTGCATTGGGACGTGATGGTAGCAATTCAAATTCTTCAACATCATCAAATTGTTCGAACAATTCACCTGTTATAAAACCTAAAGGAGAATTACAATCTAAAGCAGCTGCTTGTTATGCATTAGCTATATCTACAGATGGTAAACTTTGTTTCAGTTGTTGTTCCGATGGAAATATACTTGTTTGGGATATACATAATCAAGCAATTGTTAGGTAAAAAATTTAATTTATTGTTCTGTTTTCTTTTTTTATGAATCGTTTTTTGTTTTGCTTTGTTTAGACAATTTCAAGGACATACGGATGGTGCCAGTTGTATTGATTTAACACCCGATGGTTTACGTGTTTGGACAGGTGGTCTTGATAATTCTGTACGTTGTTGGGATGTACGCGAAGGTCGACAATTACAACAATTTGAATTCGATTCACAAATATTTTCACTTGGCTATTGCCCAACAGGTGGCGATTGGTTAGCTGTTGGAATGGAGCAAAGTTTAATTGATATATTAAATGTATCGTCGAGTAAACCTGATAAATATCGTTTAACACAACATGAAAGTTGTGTATTAGCGTTAAAATTTGCTCGATCGGGTCGATGGTTTCTATCAACAAGTAAAGATAATCAATTAACTGGGTGGAAAACGCCATATGGTGCCAAACTATTTGAAGTATGTGTTTCGTATTTTCAAAATTGCAGAAAAAGCAAATATGCTCTTTTTTTTTAGAACAAAGAATGTTCGTCTGTTTTGAGCTGCGACGTATCACAAGATGATAATTTCATCGTTACCGGTTCCGGTGATAAAAAAGCGACTTTATATGAAGTTATTTATGAACGATAAGAATGAGCTGTCTGAATACACACACACATTGATTTAATGAAAACAAAACAAAAATGAAAGAAAACTTTTTCTGCATAGAATCAAAATATTCCCTTCTCTTCGTTTGGTTTCTAATTCTGTTTATGTAGATCTGCGTTATGTTCAATCTCTATCTCCTCACTCTCATGTTCTTCTCTTTGCTTTCATATGCGCGCCTATACAGTGAGTTTATCTTCTCTCTATTGTCGCGAGTCAGATATTTCGATTTTTCTGTGACCAATTATTTGTCACTATTATATTCTTTACATATATATATTTATATATATATATAAATATATGTGCGTTTGCGTGTGGATCAATATTTGCCTAATTTGCTGTCTTTGTATATACAAAATTTTCTTCACATGTTTGTATTGTGCATGTGTATAAATCTTCTTTCCCTGTTTTTTCTCTTTATTTGCTCGGTTTATATGAAGATGGAAAAACAAAATCTGACGCGTATAATTGTGTTTTGTCTTTTTCCTTTATTCTCTTTTTCTTTTGGATGTTCGTAATTTAACTATCTATCTATCTATCTATCTATCTATCTATCTATCTATTTATATATATATATATATATATATATAAAAGAAAGAAATATCTGATCTGACAAAAAAAAATGAAGATTTATGTTGTAATTTGTCTTTTGTTGTTGAGATAAAATGGATAATGACCTATATGAGTTCAGAAAACACTGAGTTTTTTTTTTGTTCAATTTCTTTTAATAAGAATAAAGAAAGATTCTTTGATGTGGTACTTTGATAAAATGATTTATAAGTTGCCTTGGTCGGGTAGTTTGATCTAATCAATGTGATAAAATAATATGATGAATTTATTGCACTAATACTGTAAAAGTAGTAATGACTTTGACAGACTGTAAGAAGTCCTAATCATGCTGAAGTGTGATCGATGAATGAAAGAAGAAAATTTCCTAGTCTTTCACAATAATAATATTCAGATTGGTCATAGACTTTATCATTCTCTAAACAAATGAAGGAATAAATCTACCTCAACATTCTACTACTGCTGAAAGTCCACTCAAAAAATATTCATGAGGATATATCAGAGTTTTGCTCATCACTTCCATGTATCAAGAGCTAAATTTTCCACTAATCAGCATCGTTTAATTCATAATCCAATAGATCATTAATTAAAAGATAGTTTTCGATACAATGTACCAGTGCAACCAGTGGCGGATCCAGAAAATCTGTTAGGGAGTGACGCTCCTGGCCAAAAAACAGTTTTTCAAGTCTAGTTGAAGCAGAACGACTATTTTCTGTTGCATTTCTGCTGGGGAAA